AAATTGTGTGCCCTTGTTAGTAAATGTTTTGTGTGTGTTTGATTGTGTGTATGTTCTTCATGTTTATGTATGCTTTCTATGCTGCTGTTTATAAAAGCTTTTACAAATAAATTATGAGTTTTTCTCTGCATATAATCTGTTTTCAAGTATTTGTAAACTAAATTTTTGGTTATTTTAAAATAAGTTGTCTTAAACTATACTTTTAAAAGCAACCATGCATGTACCTGTTTTTTCTATTGCAATTAAATTTTCAACTAATTTGCAAATACTCCCAATTTTTTGAAATAAACACTCAATCTCAACTTAACTCTAAATTACTAACTTCTGCTTTTAAATAAGTTTTTGCGAACACATCCTAAAAATGACAGGAAATAGAAGAATGTGAAAAATTTTAAATGAAGGGCTAAGGAAAAGAAAAGGTATAGTTAAATTAATAAAATTTGTGTTTATGAATTGTTTATCTAATTTCTCCTAAAAATTAATACCCACCTCATAAATTAATTTCACAATAGATTTTCACACAATTCAATAATATTCAAAGATCCAATGTAATCGAATCAGAAATTGAATTCAATTTCCTCAAAGAAAAAAAAAATCAAGTGAAAAATAGTATATCTAGTAAAGTTAAATTAGAAAATCTCATGTGTACTTCAATTTTAACTTTTAAATAGCAATGGAGTTTTAATCAAAGAATAAATTACAACCTCCCCTGATGTAAAGTTTATTTACAAACAAATCCTCAGTTTTCAATAATTACATCCAACCCCTTGTAACATGTAGATTCTTACATTGGCACCCTTTAGTAGGGGTTATATGTAAAAAAAAATTACAAACTATAGGGAGCTCGTTGTAATTTCTAAAAAAATAAGAGTTTCTTTTGTAATTACACTGTATCTTAGGGAGGTGGTTGTAATGTTTAATTGAAATAATACTAGTTGACAAGATTTAATTTAATGTATAGTTTGGCTTCAACCCCACATGTTGGACATTGGAGTCACAAAAAAAGTTGTCATGGCAATGTAGCATATATGTCTTTTTCCCTAAGTTAGGCTAAGTAGGCACATGTTCATCAACTTGTTTACCAACTAATGATTCATGATTATTATTATTATTTTTAATAATATATGCAAAATTTTATATTAAACTATATTTATTGAATATGATTTGTTCTATGTTAAATTCGATAAAAATCAATTTGTTTTATATTTTACTATACGCGTGTATCGTTCCCGTACACCTTTTATATACATATACATGTGACATGTATATGAGTTATTACGAGTAAATTAAAAGTGGAAGAATATTGAATATAATTCACAAGGTCATTAAGTATTAAACAATGTTGTCAGAAATGAACCGGCTATGAAACCGGAGACCATTTGGATTATGGTTTTATAGGGTCGAATCGGTTTAACCGAGTTTTTGATTTTTTTTTAATATCTCATTATTTTATTAATCTTCCACCTATTAGTTTATAGGGTCTTTACATTTTTAATCTTCCACCTATTATTTTCAATTTTATCAATCTCACATCATTTTTTACTATATTTCTTTTGCTTATACTCTACATTTTTCCATTCTTTATTCTTCTAATGCGGCAATTGACCACCGTTATTCGATCACCCATGACCGAATACGGCAATTCTTCGACCACTCTGACTAGATCCGGCACTCATCACTAAGTCCGTGAAGTTCGCTCAAATCTAGTCAGAAATAACCAACTTAGCGGTGGTTTGAGATGTTTTGGCCGAAAACCGGGTTTTTTTAGTGACTCGCCGGTTCTTGAGTTTTACATGGTTGAACCGGATTTTGGTCATTTGACCCCGATTTTTATTTTTTTCGGTTTTAGAGGTCAGACCGGACCGCTTCGAGGCCGGGTCACGGTCCGACCGGCCGGTTCGATCCGGTTCTAACAACATTGGTATTAAATATTGAATAATTACTTGAGATACCCTTTACAAATGATTGAAAGATTCATCGTACATATATATCATTAATATGTGTGTATGTGCACTTCAAACATAGTCGTAGAGCGTGATTAAAATAGTTTTATATATTTCTAGGGGAAAAATGCGCTTTTTTAGTGGTAATATCTCTTCATTGCGACGAAATATCTAAGACTTGTCGCCTGAAGTAAAATTTGGCCTAGCGTCGGCAGTCAACAAACTATAGGATTAATTTCGGAAATACCTTAAAAGAACATTTGAATTTAAAATTTATTGTTTTTAATCTATTTATATAATGACCCCTTGGAAGCAATGATCTGCCAATAAATATTGAATTCTTGAGAGGGCAATATAATTAATCAAATATTTATCACATTGTTGTGATAGCAACTTATTCATATTTATATGCTGCCCAAAAACCTACCATTAATTTATTTTCTAGAAAATACCCACATGATTGAAGTGACACATATTTAATTTTCCTTTTTATTGTTTTAATTTTAGCAAAATTGATGCTAAAACCTACATTTTTTTTGTTGAATTGTCAACTAGGTCTTCCCCAACTACCACATAACATAGTTAATTTGATATTTTTAGATGGTCCCAATTTGAAATGTGGTAAATCAATAAATTCTTAAAAGACATTGTTGTCGGGTAAGCAAGTCGAACCCATCAACCCGCTATACCCTTCAAATCCGTGAAAAACTGCTACGTTGGGACCGGACGGATAGATCCATCCATAGGATTGAGTCCTAAAATAGTGAAGAACCGTGGGTTTGGGTCTAAGACGGGTTCAATTTTTTTTAATACTCGTGAAACCCGTCCCCCCCCCCCCCCCGCCATTCAAAACGACGTCGTTTTGTTTACATTATATAGTATAATAAATTAATAATATTAATGAATAAATAAAGTATCTCTAGTGTATCAAATACATAAATAAACTAAACTATAATTGTGGAAGTAATAACTATAAAGATTATAAAAATCTCTAAGAAAATGTAGGGAAAAAAGCATATATATACAACGGTCAACACACGACAGAAAAAAAGAGAGGAAGAAAATGGTGTTGAATGGAGCTGAATATCATTAGTTATGCTTGAAAATGCTATATTTATTTTATTTAAATTTTGTCTTTTAAGTTCTGAATTAATTATTTTTAGTTTTATATTTATTTTTATTTACTCTTGACATTTATATTATTTATGTTTGATTTCAATTTAAGATTTTAGGTTATTTATTTTAGTCTCTAATTATTCTCCCGTAAAACTTATAAATTATATATTAAAAAAATGGTTTAGACGATAACGGGTTTCGACCCGTAAATGTTGGGTCCTACTACAAACCCGCCATGGACCCGCCTATCGTAAACCCGTTGAAAACCCACAAGTTTGGTTCTTCAAAATCAAGAACCGTTGTTTGACGGGACGAGGGCGGGTTTTGATAGAGCCCGCGGGTTTATGGCCCGCGCACACCCCTAATTGTTGTTTTACGAGTTTACTATTTCAAATATCATAGCGTCGATTATTTTTATATTTTTTTTTATAAATAGAAATCGAACTCACACAGTGTAGATTGTGCGCCAACACGGTAGACGCAATATCCTCTCTATGTCCTTTACCAATTGGTCCCTCATGTTTCAAAAATTCAACACTTTAGTCATTTCCGTCAATTTTTCGTTAAAACTAACGGAATCAAACATGTTCCCATCACTACCGTAACTGACAGATTAACGGTAAATCGATGGAAATGACCAAAAATATCAATTATTGAAAGATAATTGACCAAATGTGTTTTTTGTAAACATAGGGACCAAATGTGAAATTGGAGCAAACTTGAGGGATGAAAACTGTACTTTTCCAGCATTATGCATACAGTTAAATCTCTATAAATGAAAAACTAGCGAAATATTAAATTATTGAACTAATAATTTAGTACATTTACATACAGAGTCGGGACCAAAATAAATTATTACTGTATTTGTATGTACATGGAAAACTAAATTTTTAAAGTTAGTGACCTATATGCAAAACTAGAAAAGTTGAGGGGTGCGACAAATAACGAAAACACAGATAAGGAGAGAGAAAGTGCTGACTGGTTAGGACTTTGCATTGCAGTCGTCTTCAAAAAATTGTATGCACTGTTCATTCAAATGGTTATATATATATATATATATATATATGTGTGTGTTATTTATGCATTTGGCGAATAATTCCTATCAGATTCAGGTCTTAATCATTTTAATTTTTTTTACAAATATATTACATAAATAAATAATAATAATAATCAGTAAAAAATCAAATCTTGAAATGACCCACGTTTGACTCATTTGTGTGTGTGTGTGTACTTAACTCAAACATTCTCAGCAACAATCAAAATCCCCCCCACTTGTAGTACCTACCCAAAGATACTGTTTTTATTTATTTTTTTGCTATTCAGAAAGAACCAATATAGATACACTCTCTGTCTGTGTATTGTGTGTGTGTGTGTGTGTGTGTGTGTGTGTGTTTCGAGATCCAAAAAGAAGTCTTTGTTTTTGTTGAACACTTTATAAAGATACTGTTTTTATTTATTTTTTTGGGTGCTCAGAAAGAACCAATATAAATACACTCTGTGTGTGTGTGTTTGTTGGAACAGTTATAAAGATTGAGAACTTTCTGGGTTGAATTCCGCAAGAAAAGCCTGACATGTTTCTACCTTTCCCAAATCTTTGAAAAGGTATTCTCAAATCTCTCTCTCTCTCTCTCTCTCTCTCTCTCTCTCTCTCTCTCTCTCACACACACACACACACACACACACACTAGGTGGAGTGGAGTGGAGTGCATGTCTTGATGATCTGGAATTGGCTCAGCAAACTTCAAAAACACAAATGCTTTGAGTTTTCTAACTTCAATTTTTTTTCTTGATTTTTTCAAGTAAATATATTAATTAATTAATTATCTAATATAATGGGTTAATTATAGATTGATTATGCATTGTGTGATGTATGTATTGATCAGTTTTCTTGAATTTTCAGATCTGCTGTCAGTAATTAAAAAATTTTAAGATCTTTTCTAGAGAGAGAAGACGAGAGAGAGAGAGGATGGCAATGAGGG